ATACTAATTTCACTCGTGAATGCGCATTTTCGTTTTTCTTATCTAAATCTAGGACACGGCTGTAAGAGATTGACATGTGACTTTCATGCACGGTCATCATTACTTACGGTATTCTGACCTCTAGCTGTTTCTCTTTTGTTTCTTTTTTGAGTCCTGTCCTATAATAAACTTTGACCTTTTCGAAAAGCTAAGGATTGTCTACCCAAGGAATAGATTCCTTAACTTTGTAATTTATTTGGCCTTATAACTTTTTTCATTCGAGTGTCACTGATGCTTTTTTGTAGACTGGCGTCTGGCGAACATCATTTTAATTCTGGTATCTTTTTATATCTACATACCTTTTTATATAAATTGGTTATTTTGAGGATATGTTCAGGTATTCATAAAATTTCTGAATTAAGATATTCTTCGGCAAAACCAAGTTTCCCTGTAGAATATTTGAATTGATTTAAGTAAAATCAGGAAATCCTTAAAATTTGAGAAGTTTTATCAGACCTAAAAAAGTCTCTTTATAAGATGTCCCAATCAGTTGCATGCAACAGGTTTCATTGCACATGGAAATTGGACTTAAGATTTATCTTTACAATTAACATCTACCATGAGTACAGACAGCTTCAATAACGTGTTGAGAACATGAAGGTCCATGCAGGAAGCAAAATATAAAGATATGATAGATAAAATAAATGCATGCAGAATTCCAGATTATAAAGCAAACTGAGTGCATAAATTTATATTGCGATTGGTTTGTGCAATTTGCATAAGTCATCCGGTTTGTAGAAATTGGGATTTGCAAAAGGGTTATCATCGGGAAAATTATGTACATTCCCAAGTACTAAATAAAATAGTCTAGCTTTAAAATGTATATTCAAATAGTAGATGTAAATATACACTTTCAACTGACTTCTTCTAATCACAGTCAATTATTTCAATTCAAAAGCAAACTGGCACAAATTCAGCAACAATCTTTTGGTGACCCGGCAGTCAGCGGTCTTAGGTTCACGTATTGCTTTTCTTTTTTTTAAAGAAAGCAACTTGTTTATTTCATCGGTTCGCAAGGTTTACAATTCAATCATTGCATAAGTTTGCATACACCAATCAACATGTTCACAGGTTGCATACATACACCAATCAATCATTTCGGTTCGCACTATCTGTACTTAGTTATAACTGATCTCATGTTCACTGATTTTATCAAAGAGCAATTCAATAACACAGAAATGTATAGTTTATATAAAAATAAGGAAATATTAGGAAATATTTATAATAAAGCAAGTGTTGCTGACGTACACACGGTGGGCTGAGATAATATTTGTAATATCTAACTGCCTTAAGAACGTGCATGAGTGAATGATTATTAAGAGAAAAAAATAAGGCGAAGGTCTTACATTAAATGAGATTTCAAAAACATTGTTACATGGCCTACATAGCCAAATAAGTTTTAAATTCATATTGTAGATATTTCCTCATACGAATAAGTCACCAATAAGTGCATTAGTCAAGAACAATAGCAAAATAGCTCTTATTACCATTATGTAAAAAATTGCTTCGATAAACATACTAATAAAAGTTTATAAAAGGTTTTTGGAAACCACAGTGATACATCTAAAGTGCTATATATACGAGCACGCGAGTTAATATAGATCTGAACTTTAATCAGATTAACTCCAATTGTGTATTGGAAGTTCAAACACTTTGCCAGATGTTGTAAACAGTTCGACCAAGAACACAAAATGCTTCCAATGTAAATTATTTCTAATCATTGTAATCTTTAACAATTAAGGGCCTACAAATCTAGAACGACAAATAAATAAAAAAGACGTAGATTCAGAAGTTCTAACATTGCATATGAGTTTCACAAAGATCCCATAATGCAATGTGAGTTATCATTGAAACAGTCAGTTGACCTTAGATGGATTTGGCTACTGTTTTAGGCCCTTTTTGTCACACAGCTTTTCAGCTGTTTTGATTGTTATACATCCTTGGCTTTCAATTATTCGGTTTTGAGAGTTCCTGATGAAGGTAAATCCTGAAAAACGCTTCAGACGCATGGAATTTATAACGTGATGTTTTCATTTATTGTAACAGTCAGATTTTTCGACTGAAAGGATTTTCAAGTTTCTAATTTGTGTTAAATCTATAAAATTTCATTTCAGCAAACTTGAGATATTGCGAGGCGTGTGAATACTTTATGTCCCATAAATCATGAAAACAATAATGAAAAAAAATTAAAAATTAAAAGATAAGATACTTTGTAGATTGTTATTACAGCATCAAAAACAAGTCCATACAACATTTCACAAAAGATCAAATAATTAATGAAGTGGAATTGTATTTTTTTAAATCGGTTTTGGTCCCATAACTCTGCTCTGATAGATTTGAAACTGTAAAAATGTAAAGGGAGCTTGCTTTCTCTGAGCTAAAGTCTATGTAAAAATTTCGAAACTTTAAAAGAAAGAAAACTATTTTTTTTTTGCATTGTCGTTAACAGAAATAGATAGACAAATACTGCGGGAAAAACAAATAAAAAGTGTCAAAGGAAAATGATATATATTCGTTGTTGGCATGCAAATTTCAATAAAAGGACCATCATTCACGTTCATGTCGTCGGTGGAATATAGACCTTACCAAAACCCTCTAGATGACGAGTGGAGCATTTTATATTTTGGTAGTTTCATTCATGCACAATTATATATCTTGTTGGATGCTTTAATCAGAATATCTGCTGGTGTATACGTAATTTTATCTGATTTCTTTGGAATTTGAATCTTTTGGGATGTTTTAATCTGAATCTCTTGTTATATTGTGTTTTAATCTGAATATTTTATGCGGTCATCAAGTGTAATTGAATTGAATTATTGTTTGAATACTTCATCATACTTTTACTTTCCGATACATGTATTTATAATTCATATTTTATGTCGTGAAACCTTGTATTTTTCGATAGCTTCCTGTATAAATTATTTTTTATCAATGTTTGTGGCTATTGCTGCTGTCGCGATCTAGAAAAAAATATCAATGTTTGTGACTTGCTGCTGTTGCGATCTAGGACAGAATATCTATATTTTTAGGAATATTGTGTCTATTAAAATATTTGCATGGTTTTTCACTTTACTTAAATATAAAATTCTGATAATACTGTGAAGCATTTTTATTGCGAGTTTTACTTTTACGGCATATTGTCTAGATAGACAAGCATTGGATGTTGGATGTGTACTGATTGATATTTTAGTCTTAGATACATGATTTTTTATAATAGTTGTTATTGGCTTTGAACTAGCTGCCAGTAACTGCGAGTACTCTCAGATCTGTACTAAGTGTCTTTTTGTTGTCAGGGATGAGGCATGAATATATACTCTGCCACGTCCTGTCTGTGTTATTGTTTTATGTACTTTGTATCGATCTGATAAGTTAAGCCTTTTTCAATTGATTTTTATAGTTTGTTCTTATGTTGTGCTGTTACACCACTGTCCCAGGTTAGGGGAGGGTTGAGCGCTCACAAACATTTTTAACCCCGCCACATTCTTTATGTGCCTGTCCCACGTCAGGACCCTGTAGTTCAGTGGTTGTGGTTGGTTCATGTCTGTCATATTTTTTTTTCGTAAATTGTTTTGTTATAAATTAGGACGTTAGTTTTCTCAATTGAATTATTTCATATTTTTCATGTCCGCCGGGCCTTTTATAGCCGACTATACGGCATGGGTTTTCTCATTGTTGAAGGCCGTACGGTTGCCTATAATTGCTTACATCCACTTCATTTGAACTTTGGTGGATATTTGTCTCATTGTCAATCATACCACATCTCCCTATTTTTATAAGGGTTATATTTGTGAGCACGTTAAACTGAATTAACCCAACCACTGTCCGTGCTTATACCAATTCAGGCTATCTGGACCATATGTTGTTCACTGTTTTTCCCTTTGTAATATACATCTAAGCCGGGGTGCTGGTGATTAGTGTGGTCTGTTTGACTATCCAATATTATTGGTGATTCCTGTAATACTTGTAATGTATTCATGGCGATAAGACACATCCTCGTGATGCTATATGTGTACTGTAGTAGCTATTCCAGCAATTTTCAAGATGATCTGCGATGTTGGTAATTTTGAGAAATTAACATTTGCTGTCGATTTAATATTTTGTTCAACACAACTTTCACAAAAGACCAAAAGATGTGTGAGAGAAAACATATATCAGAATGTATAAAATATATCTCATATTTACTTGATATATTTTTAATTTATTTGATTTGACAATTTATTTATCCTTGAATATCATGACAATTTTGTGACGTACCAAGTCAGGCTATCTGGACCATGTGCTGTTCGTTGTTTTTTCGCTGTTCGTACGTGGCTTATTCGGATGAGTTGATTGTATTGTATTGTATTGTTCAATATTTTGAAATTTCAAATTCCTAATTTGCTTTTATGTAGTATCAAATCAACATGACAATTTCTAAAATTAAGATTATTATTTTATATAAAAATATTCATTTTAATTGGTGAAAGTTATCATACAAACTTCAACAAACCAATAAAGAGTAGTAAACACTTTTGTACATTGTTCGCCCAAGTTCGCCATAGTAAAGAAATACAGGTAAACAGTAACAACAATAGTATCATTATCAAATAATCAAGTCGATTATGTAATCAATTATTACATTTTTATAGAAAAAAGTATAATAAAGACCATGAATAATTAATCAAATCACCTGAGTGAATCATAATTTCCTTGTATCATTTTTACACATATCCAGTAATTATTTCAATAAAGTAAGGTGCATATAGTAAGCATTCTCGTATTATTTTATGTTATAATTGACTGTTATAGGTAGTATTTAACAGGCGACCCACAGAGAGACCCCACTACTTTTAATATTCTCCTCAAAGCCTTATTACAGTTAAATGAACCCTGAGAAATCCAAACAAATTCCATTCAATAGCTTATTATGTCCGAACAATGAACAAAATCTTACGTATTGAATGGCAGATTTCCTGAAGCATGTCAAATCATATTTCCCACCTTTACACAGCGAAAGAACATCCAAAACAATATACGGAAAAAAACTTGATATTGTTTTACGCATAAACGAGATGAATTATTAAAGATGGTTCCATCAAAGATAATATTTAATACAATAATGCAGAAGATAATTGGTTTTGTCCGACTGATGTTGACACAACGTGGGACAGGTAGCTTCGTCTCACCTGAACAGTTATAAACATTCTGCCTTCGCGTTGGAAGTATCCAATAGGAACATTGAACAGAAGTCTATATTTGTCTTCTTATTGAAGAAAAAAACTGGTTCCAAATACAATAGTGTTATTTTTGAAGACCTGCAAGACAAGTTTTCCAGGTTTAGAATGAGCGGTGATCAAAGCTCATTCAGTGAAGCAGAAGATACAAGGTAAGGCTTGACAAAGTGTATGAATCTCGTAAGGACGATATTATTAACTGCACATGTGTGATATATAATATCAATATCTTTATAAGTACATATATTTCATGGATTCTGACAATTGGAATTACCATACAGAGATTAAGCATGCAACAGGGGTGCATGTTTTAAAATTTGAGCCGTGCTAAAAGTACTTTGCATTACAAACAAGAGAGGTAAGGTACCGTTTTCATTTTAGAAAGTTTTTAGAAAAGTTTGATAGATCTAATTATTTTTAACCAATCAAAATTCTGCTTTTTGTAACCATGGTTAATAAATATGAGTAAATAGATAATTCCATGTTATTCCACTGCATTTGGGGGGGGGGGGGGGGGGGGAGTTCTCGGGAAGACAGATTCCTTGAAATGTAACTGAGCATTAATCAACTTAATCGAACAAAGTGTTTTTACATGTAAACAATTTTATAATTGTGTATTTGAATCATAGAGTCAACTATTTCATATCACTGATTTAATTTTAAATAAAATGAAAAAAAGAAGAAAATAAAATAATTTGTGCATATTTCTCTTATATTAAATGAACTTAAATTTGTAGTTGAATTTTAATTAGATCAAAAGAAATTTACATGCAGACATTACACCTCTTTAATAAAGTTTTACTGTCAAAGATGACAAGTTTTACAGTTCTATTGTAGTAAATCTCTTATTATCCTGTATAAAGAAACCACTTGGTGCACATTTTATGCGTGGGTTGTATTTTGGGCTTAACACACAATTAGAAAATATATAAGAGCAAACACAAAAATAAAAAAAAAACTAATGGCGATCTAGACGTACTTTTAAATTTAATTATTTTTGGCAAATTTGCAAGTTAGCTGATCCGTGACATTTCCATTAAAATTCCATCAATATTTTGTCAATATCTAAGTAAATGATAGTGTAAAAACACTGTTTGACTAGGTATCCTTCAAAAGAGACATTTAATAGGTGACAAGAGTTTGGATTGTTATCTGTCTACCTCAGGCACAGAGGTTGTTAATTAACGGTATTTTATTTAATACTTTTCCCACGGCCATAATTTGTTAGTATTTAAAGTAAACGTTTACTAGAATAGTTTAAATCAGTGAACTATTCAGATAATTGGCGGTAGCTGTGACCTCCTAGCTACTTCCACGGCAGGTGGGAAGATCATTACGGGTACCTTCTTATTTATTGCTCAGTTTCTTTTCATTCAATTTGAATAATGTTTAAGTTGTGAACGAGGTTCATTGGGTGTTCTCTTACTAAGGTAAAGAGGAAAATCAATTTTTAAAGCAATACGAAAGACCGCTACCCCGCTACCTCTTAAGATTTCACGGTTGCATTTTGGCAACCCACTCAAAGCCTCTGTATTTATTTCGAGAAGGAGGTGATATTTAGTATGAATTATCTTTTTGCATGTATTTTTCTTATAAACAAAATATTAAAGTTTTGTTTCAGTGTTTTAATTCATACACTAAATGTGCAAATATCGAATTGCTATACAATCAATTTCAATGATATCGCATATATAAGAAACCATATTTTTTTCGCTCCTAGTTAAAATCTCATAACCCCGATGCTACGTTAGACTTGTCCTTTTAAAACCCATTGTGAACAAAATAAATTGCATTTTTTTTAATAGTTCAAAACTAATGCAAAATATTATTTTACCTCTGTGGTGTAATGGTTCGATACACATAATAACATTTCTGAATGAAACATACCTAAATTATATGGTAAATTATAAGATAACCAACACCCTTTTTTGGTTTTATATTGTTTCGTTGTTTTGATTCTCTGACGTACACTACACAGGCGGTGAAACATTTCGGCATTATAGTGTTAAATTATTATTTTCTGTTCAAAATTTTGTGGTATAAAATAAGGAGAAGTGGTATTATTGTCAATAAGACAACTATCCAACAGAGTCCAAATAACGTGGATTTTATCAATTATAGGCCACCGTACGACCCTCAACAATAAACAAAACCCATACCGTATAGCAAGTTATAAAAGGCTCAAACATGGTCAAAAAATAAAACGAAAAAACCAACGGCCTGATTTATGACAAGACATTAAACGAAAAACAGATACAATGCATTATAAAAGACAGCAACGGCAACCACTGAATTACAGGCTTGGGACTTGGGACAGGCACATAAAAGAATTTGGCGTGGCTAAACATGTGTGTGAGCCCCTCCCCTTACCTAGGACAATGGTGTAACAGTACAAGATAAGAACAAACGGTTAAAATCATTTCGAAATGATTTAACTCATTAAAACGGGACTAAGCACAAAACAAAAACAATTAAATAAATATAAAACAATAAAGATCAATAAACACAAAGTGCTGATGTAAGAGTAATCTCAGTTACTGAAAGCTAGTTCAAAGCAAATAACAACTGTATAAATAAATCATGTTCTCCCAGACTTATTTAACTACTACATCAATTATATAACAGAAGTATCTTTAAAATTTCAATTTAAAATGTGTGACCAAATATTCACAGATACATCATTCCACTTTTTCAAAATGATGTGATTTTAACGATATGATAGCTCCGGGTATAGAATTAAAATTGAAGTTCAGACTATATACATATAGAGTATTGTAGCGCTTACTATTAAATCATCCTTAACTGAATAAAAGAGGAATATAAAACCGACATCTTCTATTACATAGTACCTTTAAAGAATCGACACAGCTTTTCATTTTGAAGTATTAAAATGATAATAAAATAAAAAGTCAATATAACACAAATACAAGTTTGTTTCATAATAAGTATATAATATAAACATTCATTCGAAAATTATTTGAAATTGTCTACACTGAACACCATATGAAGATAAACGAATTTGTTGAAAGTGAATGAAATATTCTTCTGTATGTTACACAAACACAAGAATTAAACAGTTGCAAAATGTCCCTTTCCTACAGGTTTCACTGCTTTGGCGATATTTATATTTTTTGAGCATTTCAAACAATTTGTTTTTCTCTATGTTGTGGTTAGTGTGGTATATATATTATATAACATTGGTAAATAGGTTTAGTCTCCTGAATGTGCATCGAGTAAAAAGTAACATCATAATAAGAAATTTTATACTTTATAGCGCGATCCAAGGTTTTTAAATCTAGCCTCGAGGGTCCTGAATGTGCATCGAGTAAAAATGAAATTTACACTTTTCAAGTGCTATCCAAGATCTTTAAATCAGTTTGCTTGAATACTATCTTGCCTATGAGTAAAATAACATCCATATACAATGTTTAAGAAATGTGGGATTAAATAATTTGAAGATATTTTACTTCAAGGGCTCCTTTCTTTTCTTTCCATTTCCATTACTACTCAAATAAAAACGGTGGCCACCGAATTTAGAAGATCGTACTTAATTTTCACAAAACAATCTTTCAATCTATGGTACACCGTGTGTGTCGGAATACACTCTTCTCTTCGCGAAGAAAAGCCGCCAAACACGTTAAAACAGTTAACTTTTAATAGAGTGATTATAAATAATCAATCTATATAAAGAATGTCAGCACGAATCACAGATCGATACAATAATTGTCTGTTTAGCAACTCCTGAATCATTGATGTTAAACTAGCAATCCAAACTTCCTGGATACCAAATCTCTTATGACATTGTTTTAAAGACGGAATGAAATGATTATAGATCCGATCTGATTTTTTTATTTCATTAGTACCGTCTCATTGAAGTGGTTTGCTATTTACCACTTTTCATGGGATTGTAACTTTTGCAATAAATTGGAACATGACACTCTATGTAATTGATTCTATGTAGAAATTGAATGTTTCTTTAATCGCCATAATTTGTTCCCATGGGCGGATTCAGGCGGGGGCGTGGCGGGCGTGCGCCCCTCCTAAAATTTGCAAAGCATGGGTTGTCCTCAGCTTAATAAAGAATATTTCGATAATTTTTCCTCAAAAAAAATTTCGCCTCCCTCCGCTCGGCGAAAATTTAAGTTTGCGCCCCCCTCCTTACCTAAAATCCTGGATCCGCCCCTGGTTCCTTTATTTTCAATATATAATGTCATCTTGAGACATATTTGTAAACGATGAAGCGATAATTTGCATGTTGTTACTGAGCAACACGACTACAGCTTGTTTTATAATTAAAATGTTTGTTATTCAACACGACCGCCTTGCAGTATGTTTTTGATCTCTAGAAAAGAATCAAGGCAATATTCTACAGTGAAAACAAACTTACTATTTATAGTTATCAAAATATTGATATTAACAGATATTATGCATATAAACAAATAGATTAAATCAAACTCAAAGTTAAAAAAAGAGAGACGAAGGATACCAAAGGGATATTTAAACTCGTAAGTCGAAAATAAACTGACAACGACATGGCTAAAAACGAAAAAGACAAACAGACAATCAATAGTACACAAAACACAAAGTAGAAAACTAAAGACTGAGCAACACGAACCTCACCAAAAACTGGGGGTGATCTCAGGTTGCAATTCCCAAGATGGATATTAAATAATATAATGCTTCTGTAGGAAAATATTTTCTATGTATGGCTTGTCATTCCTAAATTGATATTGGCTACTATTGCTGTTCAAAGTGTTGGTGTTCGTTTCCATTTTAAAGGTATATATTACAATGCTCTTAACTCCAAAATCCATTCGGTTTATACCAACCAAGAGAAACAAAACCTTCTTATTGTCACAAAGTGTTCCTGGTATTAGTGCTATATCTGTATTTCATGTAAATATAGACAATGAGTTGTCCCTTGAACGTTCCACATTTTGCTATCTACGAGTTACTTTAGCTAGCTTGTCATTCATGCAGTGTGTTTGCTCTTGTTCCAATTTTGAGAAGGGTCAACTGTAGATATTTTGTTTTGGTGGATATTTATTTTATTGACAATCATATCAAATCTCCTTATTTTTACAGTTGATGAATAAACCAAAATCCAAATAACTAGTATCTGTAAGATGATTCTGACATTTCATTCACGGAA